AGCTTTTCCATCTTCTCTTTCCACAGATGTAGTCTATCTGATTTCTGTGTGTTCCATCTGGCGAGGTCCATGTGTATAGTCGTCTGTTATGCTGATAAGTATGGTGATTGAAATGTGAAATAAAGAGGAAGGATCAGTCATTGGAAAATATGGCCATGGCGATAGAAACAATGCGGGAGATCACATGATAAAAGTTTGCAAGACTAGTGACTTATTCATTGCAAATACCTTTTTTTTTTTCAACAACATAAAAGGCATGTGGAACTTACCAGATAAATTACACAGGAATAAAATTGACTACATCTGTGGAAAGAGACCATGAAGAAACTCACTATCCTCAGCTAAAACAAGGCCAGGGGCCAACTGTGGAACAGACCATAATTGCTCATATACAACTTCAGGCTTAAATTGAGGAAAATTAAAACAAGTCTATGAGACCCAAAATATAACACTGAGTATATACCATCTGTATATATCTGAGTTATATGAAGAAAAACGTGGCTTCAGGATGGGAGGAAGACTCATTAAAAAATTGCAATATGCAGATGATACAACCTTGCTTGCTGAATGTAAAGAGGACTTAAAACATTTAATGATGAAGATCAAAGAGCATAGTCTTCTGTATGGATTATATCTCAATGTAAAGAAAACACAAATCCTTACCACTGGACCAATAAACAGCATTCTTATCAATGGAGAAAAGATTGAGGCTGTCAAGGACTTCATTCTTCTTGGATCAACTAGCAACGCTCATGGAAGCAGTAAGAAATCAAACAATGTATTGCATTAGGCAAATCTACTGTGCAAGATCTTTTCAAAGTATTGAAGACCAAAGATGGTTTTGGTTAGGCATACCTTAGTCCTCAAACTGACATCTTTGGTCTTGAACACTTTAAAGAGGTCTTGTGCAGCAGATTTGCTTAATTCAATACATCATTTGATTTCTTGACTGCTGCTTCTTTGAGTATTGATGGTTGATCTGAGAAAAATGAAGTCTTTCGACAACTTCAATCTTTTCCCCCATTTATATGGGTGTTATTTATTGTACAGGTTCTTCATGAGCACAATTAAGTGTTCTGCAATACTTATTCTCTGCACTATTGTCCATAGCTTGTCATGATTCATACAATCGAAAGGCACAGAGTTACTGAAACAAAATGAATGTGTTAGTGTTCAATCAA